AATTTCTTACTAAAAATAAACGAATCCAGAATAATATTACTGATTATTCAAGATACATAATTAACGATTGCCATATATAAGTAAAGGGATCCAAAATAATATAAGTATTATCCAACAAACATAATATAAGTAAGGTGATGAATAATATACTCGTGATCATAATTTTCAAATTTAGTACTATTTAGGATTGTTTCTTAATAATATTTTTCGTAAATTTTGTCAATCACCATATGTTAAGGAAGTAATCTATTCTTGAAATCATATCATACCATTCATGGCTATGCATGAATCATTTTTTAATGCACGGCCGTATTAGGATAGTTTCACATTTAATTATTTACTTACCTTTTGTATTTTAGAAATGACTTTATTATGGTGAGAATTCCTTGGTAAAGGATTAATATATGTAGCATGGTCCTAAAATTCTATTTAAATTAATTAAAAATATTCTTTTTTATTAAATAGTATTTATATTTCTTCATATTTATTTTTAATTTTTTATATTATCATCGTAATTGGAGTTCGTATTGTTGAAATCTGAATACAGATATTTACATATAATATTATTGATTATCCAAGATACATAGTTAAGGATTTCCATATATAAGTAAAGATATCGAAAATAATATTAGTATTATCCAAGATACATAATATAAGTAAGGTGATGAATAATATACTCGTGATCATAATTTACAAATTTAGTATTATTTAGGATTGTTTCTTAATAAGATTTTCTGTAAATTTTGTTAATGACCATATATAAGTAAGGTGATCAATAATATATACTCATGGAATTAAGACAAATAAGTAAGGAATCAAAAATAGTATTGGAATTTCTATTAGATAAGTACTCTATTGATTTCAACCTATATATACATGAATTTCCATTAATAAATCTTTGTTACTTATTAATTTAAGTATGAAATTTATAAATATGAAAGTAAGATAAAGGATTAATATATGTAGCATGATTCTAAAATTCTATTTAAGTTAAATGAAAATTATTATTTTTATTTTTTTTAAAATAGTATTTATATTTTTAGTATTTATTTTTAATTGTTTATATTATTCTCGTAATAGAAGTTCGTATTATTGTAATCTGAAAAAATATATTAACATATAATATTATTGATTATCCAAGACACATAATTAAAGATTTCCATATATAAGTAAACGGATCCAAAATAATATTAGTATTATCCAACATAAATAATATAAGTAAGGTGATGAGTAATATACTCGTGATCATCATTTTCAAATTTAGTATTATTTAAGATTGTTTCTTAATATATTTTTTTGTAAAAAAATAATATTCTAATTTCCAATAATATAAGTACTCTATTGATTTTAACTCTTATTATACACGAATTTTCACAATAAACCTTTGTAACTTATTATTTAAGTATGTAATTTTTAAAGATGGAAGTAAGATAAAGGATTAATATATGTAGCATGGTCCTAAAATTCTATTTAAATTAAATGAAAAATATTATATTTGTTTTTTAAATAGTATTCATATTTATTCATATTTATTTTTAATTATTTTATATTATCATCATAATAGGAGTTCGTATTGTTGTAATCTGAAGGAAAGAATTTTGTTGAAGGCCAGTGATTATCGCGTAGAAAATCTGTGGTCAATTGTTTCCAACAGGAGATCCGCTGGTGCATCGTATATAATTTATTTCCGCTGGTTTACTTGGATATTACGTAGCGTGCTGACATGTTTAAATTTTGCCACATAGACATGCCAAATGTCGAATTTCTGTGCATCCGAGTCTCCTTTATTATATTAAAGGATTTTTCTATTATTACATGGCTTGATGATGTCTTCCATTTTTTGCCAAATAGGCGTGCCAAATGTCGCATTCTCGTGCATCCGAGTCTCCTTTATTATAATAAAGGATATCTTTATGTTTTAAGTATTTAAAACTATAATAAATTTATGAATTTTGTGTAGGAGTTGTGAACTTGTTAATCTAAAATGTCACACACCAATGGTCTGCCGTCTGCGGGACCAAAAGTGATTAAATCCAATTTCCAAAGCGCGAAAAGTTAACTCTAATTTGCCAGTAACCAGAGCACGCTCACTTGAATGGCGTCGTCTAGGAATGAAGAAGCTGCTCCGAGCATGGAGGTGGTGGAGGAAACGACAACGGCGGCGAACACCGCCGCATCGCCCGACGGCGACGACGACGAGCACGACTCCAAGGAGAGAGTTCTTCAGAGATACTTCCTTCAGGAATGGAAGCTCGTGAAGTCCCTCCTCGACGACATCGTTTCGCGCGGCCGTGTTTCCGATATCTCATCCGTTCACAAGATCCGATCCATTGTGCGCAATCCCTTCTCTGCTTATTTGGTTCTCCATGCTGCAAAACTTAATGGAGTTCACCCTTTTAGATTCTTTCTTTTAGATTTCTCAATTCCACGCTAATTTTTCAAATAAATTGAATTCTAAATAAAATCATAACCGAAATGTGAAATTGTTTTTTGGGACGGAGGGAGTATTTAATTACTCCATATTTAGTTAGAGAAAGTCAAATCTTGATGTTTATTTAAACTTTCCTGCTTTCAGCATTTTTGTTTTGCCTAACATACTGAATGTGATGTTGTAGATGGACAAGTATCAGGAGCAAGGTCAACTCGTAGAGCCGTATTTGGAGAGCATAGTTTCTCCCTTGATGGAAATTGTCCGTTCCAAAACAGCTGAAGTAGGGGAAGCCTCGGATGAAGTTCTCGAAGCCATTAAGCCTTTGTGCATTATCATTTATTGTTTGGTAACAGTTTGTGGATATAAGGCCGTTATCAAATTCTTCCCGCATCAGGTTTCTGATCTAGAGCTTGCGGTCTCTCTGTTGGAGAAATGCCACATTGCACATTCAGCAACATCCTTGAGGCAAGAAAGTACAGGCGAGATGGAAGCAAAGTGTGTGATACTATTATGGCTTTCCATACTAGTGTTGATCCCTTTCGATATATCATCTGTGGATACTAGCATTACTGATAGTCAGTGCACAAGCACAAATGAACCACCTCCACTGGCACTGAGGATCATAGAATGCTCTAAAGACTACCTTTCAAATGCTGGCCCTATGCGTACTATAGCTGGATTGCTGCTTTCGAAACTTCTAACACGCCCTGATATGTTGAAGGCCTTTAACAGGTAGTTTTGCATTATTTACTTATGGCAGCTAAACTATTTGATCAATTAGGCCAATAGGATGAAATACTAGCTATAGACGGGGAGCCTTTCAAAACTGCAGTAGATACTAAACATTGTCCAGGGACTTAATTGAGCCTTAAATAGAGCGTTATAGACTTATAGTCTCATAAGAATTTATGAGTTTGTCTTTCATTTTGTTTTGTATGTGAGTGCATTGGCGCCTTACAACAAAAACTCAGTGCATTGGTGTCTTGGTCTTATGATCCCATTTTCTTCTCCCAAGTTTTCTTTCATTCACCTTAGCAGTGTTTGATTAGTTTTGGAAACGTTATTGCACAAGCTTGTTAGGTAAGTGACCAAATAATTAGAAAACTACTAGTAGAGAAAATTGATTCAAATAATACTTAAACTGCAAGGCTTTCCACATATACAACCTATTAGTTTTTTTACTTAAATAGTAATTTTTTGTATGAATATGCCAAGTTAACCCTCAACACATAACTTCCGTCCCATGAATCAAACTGCCTTGCAGTTATAAAAGTTTTTTTTGCCCTATAATGTTTTGTGCGGCTAGTGCTGTTACAAGTTATGGAATACACATGAGTCTTGGTCCTATATGAGTATTTCTCCCTAACTAGTATACCACATTCAATTTTCTGGGAATCAGCTCATCAAAAAATTGAGCATTGTTTCTAATCATTTTGTTAAACTACTATTCTTACTCGAGTTACTTGCATTTAGTTCCATATTAATTTCCACCATATTATGTCCATGAATTTATGATGCTCATTACTTTTAGAAAACTAATGGACACTGTAGACATTGTGAACATAGTTGTGATCAAGGTGATTGTGATGCTTTATTTCCACTTGTTTTCACCAGCTTTATTGTTTGGGCACATGATGTCATGTCATCTGATGCAAATGACATTAATGATCACTTCCAGTTATTGGGTACAGTTGAAGCATTGGCTACCACATTCAAGGTTTGTTACTTCATCCTCTTATATTTCCAGGGTTCTTCATGAATTTAATACAAAACAAATGTTTCATTTACATTCTAACACACACACACCCTCTGCCTCTAAATAAGCATCAGTTAATGGATTACGACATGTGACTAAAGTTATTTTCAATTTTTTTTGAATATTTTAAAAAATAAAAAAATAAAATTTTTCATATTCAAAAATACTTCAAAGTTTTATAAAACAAGAGGTACCCACCCCCCCTCCCCATCTAGTTTTAGATGTACATTTTTTTGCACCTATGTTTGTATAATACTTCCTCCACCCCCTAAAAACTAACTACTTTCCTTTTTTGGATGTCCCAAAAAACTTTCTACATTATTTCCTTTTATGTAATTGAACATGTGGCTCACAAAAACTTCTCTCCCCCATCTAAACAACTTCCAACCACTCACATAATTTGATAATTCATTACTTTTTTAAACTCCGTGAAATTAAACAAGATTTTTTGAGACGGAGGGAGTAGAACTTTTCTTCAGTAAAGTGAACATGCACATAATTTGATAATTCATTAGATTGATTAGTTAATAATGCATTTACAGTTTTTGACATGATTAGTTCATTTTCATGTTATCTTAACCCCATTAATAACCTTTTAGTGTCTTTATTTATAACTTAATCTCATTTAGATAAAATTACACCAATAGAAAATTTGGGTAATCCGTGAACTTTTCAAATATAGACTGGGAGTACGCAAGTATTGCTTAATGTGGTTCCGACTGTTTGGCAAGACACAGCTGCACTGGTGAAGTCTAGCAATGCAGTAAGAAGTCCATTGCTCCGCAAATATCTTGTAAAGTTAGCTCAACGAATAGGGCTTATGTGTTTGCCTCACATTTCTCAATCATGGCGCTACATGGTTAGTCTAATTATGGTGATTTTCAGGTTTCTTCACTGTTTCATATCCCATCACATCATGTCACACAGAAAAGTTTTTGGAAAGTCAATGTACTCAGTGTTTAAAAGAGTAAAGTCACTAACTACTGCTGGAATCATTTAACATTTTCTGAGATTATGCTGCTGATTTTCCTCTCAAGGTCTTTATTCTGTCTGTTTTATTGTCTTGCAAGATCTAGTGTCTTTATGGATTGTTCATGAAAAACTTCTTTATTAAAAAGACAAATTTCCACGAGTTCTCATTTTAAGGTCTCATTATCTTCACCGTCTAGGGCAGGAAGCAAACTCTTGGAGAGACATCTAAAGACTTGACCAGAATTGATAAAAACCATGAAACTGCCATCAGAGATCCTTCAGAGTTATTTCAAGAGGAAGATATGGATGTCCCTGAGATGGTAGAAGAGATTATTGATGTTTTGTTGTCTGCACTGCGAGATACGGTATGTTAAGGCCTAATGGATGATAAATTGTTTTATTAGCCAAGTACATATGCTAGTTGTTCTTACGTGCCTGGGGTAAACAAAAGATAATTCACTACCATGCTTCTCTTTTTTGAAAAAGCTTCAGTTTTTTTGATTTTTTTTCTTTTATTGTAACCATCAGAATTCATTATGCAACCATGTCAGTTTAGGCATCTTGTTCTCATAATGTGCAGGACACTGTCGTGCGTTGGTCTGCTGCAAAGGGTATTGGCCGTGTTACTTCACGCTTAACTTATGCACTTTCAGATGAAGTTCTTTCATCTGTACTGGAGCTTTTTTCTCCCATTCAGGTCTTTGGTCAACAACTAACTTTTCAATATATCAATCAGGAGATGGGATAAACATCATCTCTAAGATCTTTCAAATTATCTTGGGATTGCCATGTGCGTGTAATTTATGTGTTGATATTGGTTCCTAATTTTAATTTCAGCTTCTGTATTCTTCTATCACAGGGTGATGGTTCATGGCATGGAGGTTGCTTGGCACTGGCTGAATTAGCACGTAGAGGATTACTCTTACCCATCAGCTTTTCAAAAGTTGTGCCATTTGTAGTGAAGGTTTACCAATCTTGCCTGTTACTTTTCTGGTTTAATAGAGTACTTCTCCATTTTGTTGGCTTCTGTGATTTCACCTGATAGTGAGGTTATTGTTGATGGTTGACCTTTAGTTTTTACTTCAGAGTTTCAAAGATTGATTAACAAATGTTCTTTTTGCTAGAGTATGACTTTGATCCTTTTCTGCTCCTTAGTCCTCTCCTCTCTGGTCAAAGATGTTTCTTTGAGATCCCGGGAGACCTTCCAGTTTCCTTGGGTGAATATAATTTATATTTGCTTGGGTTTTGAAACTCTCTCCCTCTCCCTCTCTCTCTCTCTGAAATCCATTTAGTGTGTGGGTCATAATATCATGTATTCATGCATTTTTTGCATTCTTCTAACTGGGAAACCTTCATATTGACAAATTGGCATCTCTTATTATAGATATATTGATTGAAGATCATATGGTATACTCATCTAATAAGTTGTACTTTGGGGCATGACTTTGACAGGCCTTACATTATGATGTTCGAAGAGGTCCACACAGCATTGGATCACATGTACGCGATGCTGCTGCATATGTTTGCTGGGCATTTGGTCGTGCATATTATCATAGAGATATGAGAAGTGTACTTGAACAGCTTGCTCCGCATCTCTTGACAGTTGCTTGTTATGACCGAGAGGTTCTGACAACTGCTTATGAATGTTTCCCTTTCTCCACTATTTGTTACTCCGTAGTGCGTATTTAAATGATTAATACTCTGGCTCAATCTCCAGGTTAATTGTAGAAGAGCAGCTGCTGCTGCTTTTCAAGAAAATGTGGGTAGACAAGGAAATTACCCACATGGCATTGATATAGTGAATACAGCTGATTATTTTGCACTTTCTTCCCGCGTATACTCTTATCTCCACGTTTCGGTTTGTATTTCTGGATATGATGGATACCTACACCCTTTTGTCAATGAGTTGCTTCATAACAAGATCTGTCACTGGGTATGTATTTCTTCCCTCAATGTCAGTATTATTTTACCGCGAGCTTTTGTTTTGGCATTATTGGCAATTTGGAATAACACTTTGATGTAAGTTTTTCTTGATGGTATTTAATTATTTTTTGTCGATATATGGTAGATTACACCATTTAGGCTCCATTTGGGAGAGGTTTTAGTCCATTTTTAAAAGCTCTTAATGCAGGTTTTTGGTTCATTAGGATGCTCTCTATTTGGAACTTTTAAAGCACCAAAACGTAATACGAGTATTATAAAGCTATAGTTTGATTTCCAAAAGCTACAAAAGGGTGAGCTTTTGGAATATTTTATAACACAGTCCTGAATATATTAAAAAATAATAAAGTGAAAAATAGTACTCGTAATATTAGTCTTAAGAATAAGTGAAAAATATTTTCCATTTATAAAGAAAATTTAAATAGAAATAAATTTATGGATGTCAAATTAATTTATGGACCACCCCCAAGGATTCTAGATAGAAAGCTCACCCAAGTTTGAACCCCAGCGGGGCCGGGGGCATTGACTGCATGCGCTTCAAGAGGTTGAGAAAGTATGTATGAACATAACTCCATTGTAATAGAGCAGTAACACTAAAAGAATTGATGTTTACCTATATACTTCACAACAAAACAGATAGGTTTTCTGGTTAAGGTATGTCTCATGTGTATTTGAGTGTGATTTCCATAAATTTCCAGGTAGGATTTTTGAAGATGCTCAGATGCATGGTTATTTTCCTCTTGTGATTACATGATTGGAAGGTATTGTGTTTTTTTTTGAAATTATATTTTTGAAATTGCAGGACAAAAGTTTGAGAGAGCTTGCTGGAAATGCTCTTTCATCTCTTGTCAAGTATGATCCTGAATATTTTGTAGAAGCTGTTATGAAGAAATTAATTCCTTGCACTCTGTCTTCTGATTTATGCATGCGTCATGGTGCAACCTTAGCTCTTGGAGAAGTCACTTTGGCTCTGCACAAGAGTGACTATATTCTTTCCCCAGGTTGGGTTGGTTCTCCTCCCCCTCTTTGACAATCTTCACATGTTGACATGGAAACATGTTACTTGTACTTTAATTTTGCGTTCTTTAACTAGGTAAATCATGTAGTGCAATTCTTAGCTTTTGTCATGTTAAATTGGGCATAAACAATCCCCAATAGGATCCCAATGCCCAAGTAGTGAGTTTTACGGTTTACCTCACAGTTACTAAATTCAAACCCAGTAGACAGCATCCGGGTGATTGATACTTAACACACACACACACACACACACACACACACCAAACAAGTGGTCCCAAACCATTACGTGAGCGGGCACCCCACAAATCACCACCAAACAAACTTTAATACCTTGTTCAATCGGGTCCAACCACCCAAAAGATCCTTAATAAGTGATGTTAACTTCGCACTTATGTACTAGACTCGACGTGAGTAGGAAACCGATGTGGGATAGTCAACATCTTGAGTGTTTTGAAATGTTCATCTATGCTTATTATTGCCCGTCTATGTTTCTCCCCAACAGATCTCCAGAAACAAGTAGCTGGTGTGGTTCCTGCAATTGAGAAAGCACGACTTTATCGTGGGAAGGGTGGAGAGATAATGCGTTTTGCTGTTTCACGTTTCATAGAGTGCATTTCTTTGGTGCATGTGCATTTGACCAACACAACAAAACGAAATCTGCTTGGTACACTCAATGAGAATTTGAAGCACCCTAATTCTCAGATACAGGTAACCCTCATTACACTGTATGAGCATATTTTAATATTTTATACAATACTACTGATTGGAACCTTTTTTCTTCTTTTAATTCAATGCCTGAATTGCTTGTATTCTGTAGGGTGCTTCTGTTGCTGCCCTGAAGAGCTTCATCCCTGCTTACCTTGTGGCTATAGAAAATAAACCATCAATTGACATTCTGGATAAGTACCTTGAACAATTGAATGAACCCAATGCAGCTGCCAGAAGAGGATCAGCACTTGCTCTTGGTATATTGCCTTGTGAGTTTTTGGCTAAAGGATGGAAAAATGTGCTATCAAAGCTTTCAAAGGCTTGTGAGATCGAGGTTGGGAATATTTCTATTGCCTTCATGTTTGTTATAACAGTTTTTGCCCAAACTTTGCTTCCTTCCCCACTTCCTGTTACCCAGTCACTATGACGAGTTTAAAATATTTACTGAATACATTATTTATTCCCGTGACTATATACTTTCACTCTAATTGATCTTTTTTACTCAATTGGTCCTCATGTGTGCAATTTAGACTCATTTGCTCGTGCATAATATACTCTATATTAAGGGTATTTTCATCCCTTGATGAGTATGTTGGCTCCACATTACATAGTTGAGTACCAAATTGTGTCTAAAATTGGGTCTAAATTTTGTGAAATTCAAGTATAAAAATACTCTTCTTATTTAGAACCAAACATGCATGGGAAAATTTTTTGGTCCCAATTGCATGCATAGTTCAGGACCAATTTGAGTAATAGTGAATAGTTGAGGGACTAAACCAGGTTTTAAATCTTTAATATTGGGTGATGTGTGCAGGAGAATCCTGAAGATAGGGATGCAGAAGCACGGGTGAGTGCCGTGAAGGGGCTCGTATCAGTGTGTGAAACATTAACTTACACAGAACAATTCTCTGATTTCTTCTCTGAAGAAGATTACCATTCTCTGTTTTTTGTCATCAAGAGTGAAGTGATACAGAGTTTGCTTAGAGCTCTGGATGATTACTCCATAGATAATAGAGGTGATGTGGGTTCTTGGGTTCGTGAAGCTGCCATTGTAGGTCTTGAGAAATGTTTATATATTCTATGCAAGAGAGAATCCAATCATTTGCCAAGTCAATCAGAAGTGGAGCATCTTGAAGACAAGAGGGGATTATTTTTTGATGAAGATCTAGCAACCTGCATTGTTGGAGGCATTGTTAAACAAGCAATGGAAAAGATGAATAAATTAAGAGAAATATCTGGAAATACTCTCCAAAGAATTTTGTACAACAAGGAAATTTTTGTTCCATTCATACCTTATAGAGAGAGACTGGAATCTCTGGTTCCTAATGACACGGATCTGAAGTGGGGGGTAGGTTAAAAGAGTCCGCATTTTAGTTTTATACGAATAGTCTTTAGTTTTTACTGAGAATCTTGGCTATTTGAACTTGCAGGTACCTACCTTTTCATATCCTCGTTTCATTCAGTTACTTGGGATCAATTGTTACAGTAAATACGTGGTCTCTGGATTGGTTATTTCTATTGGTGGATTGCTCGATTCTTTGAGAAAAGTAGCCGTTGCTGCTTTAACGGATTACCTTCAATCGTCAGAAAGCCACAATGGTTCTAGAGAGCAGAGCTTGTCTAATGACATTCTTTGGGTTCTTCAAATGTATAAAAGATGTGATAGGGTCACCACACCAACTCTAAAGGTAGATTGAAAGAAATGCTATTTTTGGAATTGTTTTTTGCTCAGTCTAATGTCAAAGCTGCAGTTACCAAACCCTTGTCGTGTTTCTAACCTTTAATGTACCTTCTTTGTTTTAGACTATCGAGATTCTCTTGAGCAAAAACATATTTGTAAACAAGGAGGTTAGTCCGTATTCTCTTGACTTGGTTTGGCTGTTTTACAAAGTCCATTATTTTTCCCTTAATTTGGTTTGTGCTGAACTGACTTAAATGAGCTTTTCAAGGATTGTTGGCTGGACCAACTGATAATAGAATGTATTAGTGCATTTTATTTTTGGTGAAATTGAATAAAATGGAGAGATGAAAATTACACCATCATCTTCTAGCTATAAGTTTAACATCTATTGTCGTCAATGACATACTTTTTATAGAGTTACGTGAATGACAAGAGATCTGGTGATGCCAACTCAACTTATGAAACATAGAAGTGTGTCATTGATGACAATAGATTGTTTCTTATAATTCAGCTTATTCAAGGATAATATCAACAAATTCATCTCAATGAGTCATTTTTATAGTTTTATCCAAATATTATCATCACCTATTCAACTAATGGGCTTATTTTCTTTTAGGCACATACTTCTGTCTTCTGTGCTGCTGTTTTGGACTCCCTTCTGGTGGAATTGAAAGGATCAAAGGACTTCTCCAAGTTGAATGCTGGAATCGCAATTCTGGGATATATTGCTTCACTTGTAGAGCCTATTAGCACCCAGGCGTTTAGCCAGCTAACGGCTTTCCTCATTCACCGTTATCCAAAGGTACTTTACGTGTGAAGAATTAATGTAATGCTTCCATCCTTCAAGTGACTAAACAAAAGACCCAAATAAAAAAATGTGTCTCGCTATGGTTTCCTTCTTTTTTCCATTACCCTATGTTTGGTTCAAGAAATTTGGAAGGGAAAAGAAACTAAAATAACGAGGAAGAGAATTTTTGGTGTCTGGTTATAAAGGAAAAGAAAAGAAAGCTAGGAGGAAAATAAAAGGTGAGGGAAACATAAAGCAAATACGGAGAAGTCATTTTCCTTCCATTGTGGTGAGAAAAAAGAGAGAGAACAACAAAACACAAAAAATCCACGTCATTGAAAAATAATTTCCTCACTAGTTTCCATACTAACCAAATATTCAGATTTTGGATTATCTTTTATTTTCTTTTCTTTTTCTTAGGGGCTGTTTGTTTCAGCCTCTTAATGGTTCAGATGTCTGAATGGTTCAGCACTTAATGGTTCAGACTGTTTGTTTCAGCCTCTTAATGGTTCAGATGTCTGAATGGTTAAGAGATTTCGGAGACTTACCAATTCATAATATGTCTCAGACTTATCAATTCTGGAGAATAGACTTAACTAGTCTGTAAACGGAGACTTATCAATTCGTTATATGATCGACTTAATGGTTCAGACCTCTTACTGGTTCAGCACTTAATGGTTCAGACCTCTTACTGGTTCAGCACTTACCGATTCAGAAGTTGCCAAACAGCCCCTTAGTATTTTCAAGTCTTTCCTCATTACTGGACCCAAACAGAGTGTTAATGTTTTCCGTTTTCCAAACGGATCTCAAACAAACTTTGCAGATTAGGAAATCCAGTGCAGAGCAAGTATATCTTGTCCTCCTACAAAACACAAGTCTTGTTTCAGAAGAGAAACTGGAGGAAGCACTTGAAATTATATCTGAAACCTGCTGGGAAGGAGATATTGGGGAAGCTAGACAAAAGAGAGCACAGCTTTGCACCATAGCTGGCATTGAAATTGGCCAGACCTCTGGAAATGGGGGTTTACCACGCAGGCCTGCTGGAAAACTGACCAATGCAGATGAAAATGAATCCTACTTGTCACTGGTTGGATCCGCTGGGTTTTAGCCCGAAATGTGGTCCTCTCATTGGCCAAGGAAGACCGTTTGATTGCCTATCAAGCATATGGACCGTTCGGATCAGTAAAACTGATTTGTATCCGTCTGATAAACAATCGGGCACATGCTGATATATAATGGCTCAGGTGCACCTAGCGGAGAACCCTTATCTGGTTTTACCATTTTGGTCATTGTGGTCTTGCCATGTTTTGCCATAGCTGATGTTTGGCCTGTCTAGTGTTCGTTCATGTTCGTTTAATTTAAACAAACATGAAGGAGACTTATTTTAGGGCTCTGATTATTAAAAACACACAACCTGAACCACGAAAAGCTCATTTGATAAAAGCTCATGAACGGGTCAGTCGGTGCTTATTAAGCGTGTTCGTGGACAAAGCCTGATAAGCTTTATTGTTCTTTAACAAGTTTGATGAAAGGATAGAGTATAATTTTATATACTCTGTATTTCAATGTAAATTGTAATTTGAGAAAAGTGATTTTTGTTTCAATGATGTGAAAATAGATGTTTATTTGCTGTTTTGATTGTGTTTGGTGAGGTTATGTTCATTTGTTTGTTTATTGTTCGTGGACGAGTTTAATTACTCCAAACTTTATTGTAGGCATTTAAGTCCTTGTCATTAATCTCATATTTCATAACTCATATCTAACTTAGCAAATGGACCTTTAATATCCCAAACATGAGTAGTATATCTTTAAGTTACGAGGATTAGTTATAATTCTCTTTGTCCCGTATAAATCTTCTACAATTAACCAACACGTAAAGTAAGATAGAAGAGAAATGATGCAAGACAAAAAATGTGTCTAATATGAAAAGTGAAACTTGATTTTTAAACAATTAAAAAATACGGAGTACATTGTAGGTGATAGATACCTTAGACCAAGAAGTATCAAGTCCAAGAGCAGAACTCATTGTGAAATAAAAAATCTCGCATCTTTTATTTATGAAAATAGTTATTATCTGGTTCTGCAAAGGTAATAAAAAAAAAGTTAAGTGCAAAACTTCAAATGGACGTGTTAGTTGAAAAAACAACACAATTTTTCATATAACATTCTAATCTTTATACTCAAACGTTTAAATGTTTATGTAAGTTAATAACGATTATTTCTGTAATTTAGTGCAAACCATTGCATCTCTATTATCGTGAAACATTCAAATGTTTGGAATCAAACATTACATTTAAATGTACTATTATTTTATACTTTTGAATGTATCACTCTAAACTTTGTTCAAAACAATGATGTCTAAAATTAATATTTTCCCTACTGTCTTGAGTGTCCTGGCAGCCCCAGCCCAGGACTCTGCACCTTAGACCCTACTACTAGGGGCTTCCTCTCCAAACGCTCGTAATGAAATTTGTAATATTGTTGAACAAACGTGCACTCTATATTTCCAAATTCGTTAGCATCTATTAAAATTCTCATCCATTATAAATAAATTCTAATTACATAAAATACCCAATGACAATAAAATCACCAATAACAAAAATGGTGAGAATAATCATTGGGTTGATTATTGTTCATGAAGAAGCTTGATTAAACCATGTGAGCTTGTTTGCTTTATCCAAGTGAACGAATACAAACTCACTTGGCTTGGCTCCATGAGTAGTTGAGTACTGGTATTTTGGTAAAAGAACAAACTCATTTGGCACACAAATAATTGAAACAAAGACTTATTTTCTCAAAGTAACAATTTATGCTATTATCACTGCCAGTCCAAAATATAACACCACAAAGAGAGAACAACAAATGTGAAAATTTTTGTTTCCAGAAGCCTATCTTAAACTTCAATTCTGATTCTTATGCTGCTACTCAAAAGCACAATTTTTTCTTTTCTTAAGACAATTTCAATCTTTTTTTCTTTCTGGAACTACTTCAACCAAGGGAACACAGCAGGAGACGTAGGCAGCCGCGCTGTGAGAACTTCGACTCCGGTCTCAGTCACCTATTTCAACAATGTCATTCAACACACACTCATATATATATACAGTTTGGGATTCAGATTCAATTAGAGGGGATTGAATCAAATTAAAGAGTTTCACATTCCCTTCTTCGTATGTGTCCCAAGAAAAAGCTCCACTTTCCATTTATGGAAAAACTTTTGATGCTCATCTATTTCGCTCTCATATCCACCATTTTTTACCACACAATTTCACCTTTCCCAATAACCGTGCCTATTTCTCTTATGAATCAGAGGGAGTAAAATATAGTTACCAACACTTACCAGCATCGTGTGTTCAAACTGGGCACTGCGTTTTCCATCTGCAGTTACAGCTGTCCATCCATCAGGCCACATCCGATCACGCCAAACACCTGCTAGCTCCAAAATTTATTTACTTGACAGGGCACAGCTCTTATATAACACACAGCTTATAGGGTAACTAACTTTTTCAAAAATAAAAAAACAAGCGTTAATTACCTGCGTTGATCATGGGTTCAATGGTAAAGGTCTGGCCAGCCTTCATTATACCAACTGCTTTGTTTCCTGATCATGTTAAGGTTAACCAAGAGAAAGTTGGCAGAAAAAAAAAACATATAGAAGTAAAGAACTCTCTTTTTTTCATCAATAGTTTGACCAAATAATTTAGTCGTGTCACATCTTGTTTTGTTTTGTAGAACTTTTGATCTAACTTTTGAATATATAAACTTTATTTCTTTTATTTCTACACCAATTTCCAAATGAATTGAATTGAAAATAAATTCGGTAAGTGCATCTTTTATTTTGGAATGGAGGTAGTACAAAAGTGAGAAGTCATGAGGATACGGGCATAATGAGGAATATTTGGTGCACAATGGAACAGCTCTCCAATACCATGTCCACAATACGATTTCACCTGTGGACAAGACATTAGGAAATGACACATTTATTAAATGTTAGTTGCAACACTTTGAATTTTGAACTATTATGTGCTGCATTACCGTATCTTTTCAAAAATTACATCAACAACAAACCTAGTAAAACCCCACAAAAGTAAGGTCGAGGGAGGGTGTCACCTTAACCCCTACGTGGCAGTACAGAGGTTGTTTCCAAGAGACCTCCCGATCTTTTCAGAAAAGTATATAAACAAATCCTATTTTATATATTGTTGATAAATTTATCTCAATGCATGATTTCAAAGTATCAACTTTTAATATTTTTACTAATAGTTTATTAAATGTATTAATGCTCAAAGTAGTGTATTAACAAATGTGAAAGTCAAACTGTTGCAACTAAAAAAGAACAAAGGAAGTATCTAGCAGAGTATTTAAAGGGAACACTCACCACAGAGAACCCTGACATTGTTGCATGACGATTGATGACCTCTCCTACTTCCCGAAAACGTGTTCCGGGTTTAACTGCCAATGCCAAGGAACCATTAGCACAAAAAACTCAAAGAGGATAGACCCTTCATGCATTGCTGCATTTACTACCCAAAACTTCATTGAAAGTAAGAAGCAAAGGAAGCTTAATGGACAAATTCTTAAATCACACCCAAGTTGCACAAAAGAAATACTCACACATAAGCAACAAATTATTAGAGAGATTAGCATTTATTTATTTTATTAATTTGCTTGTGTGAGAAGGTCGAAGATGCAACTTGAGTGCATGATAGAAGCACTCAAGAGAAGTAGTGAATTCTTCCCTCTACAAGATACATATAATAAGAAAACAACACCTACCTATTGATATAGCTTTTTCCAAGCATTCATATGTACATTGAACAAGCCGCTGAGAAGTTTCGTCAACATTACCAACAAAGAACGTTTCATTTAGATCGCCTGCATGGTCAGTGGAACAATAATTTAGGTCAACGATCAAATAATTGAATAGTGATGTGGATGTGCGGTGATTCTTACCATGGACTCCCTTATAACATACTGTGACATCAACATTTACAATATCGCCATCCTCTAGCTTTCTAAAAGGAAAAGCATTTCATAGCACTCCATTCAGTCAAATAAGTCAAAATACACTTATTCTGCTAATGTTAATGAGCCGAACTGAAGAAGCCAAAATATACAAAGTACTAAAAAACAGAGCCTTAGGGGGTGTTTGTTTTTTCTGCGGGAAAAGGTCTGCAGTCTGCGGACCACTACTGTAGACATCTGCAGGAGAAGTGGTGGACCGAAGGTCTGCGGTCTGCAAGAAGAAGACTGTTTGTTTTTTAATGTCTGTACATTGCTATATAAATTAATAGTAGTAGTGTACGGTGGTGGTGTATGGACGATTGTGGTGGTGGTGGAGGGTGGTGGTGAAGGGTGGTGGNGTTGACGGCGGTGGTGGTGGACGGTGGTGGTGGTGGCGGTGGTGGTGGACGACGATGGTGATGGACGGTGACGGTGATGGTGGATGGTGGTAGTGGTGGACGGTGGCGGTGGACGGTTGTGGTGGTGAAGAGAAGTAGAAAAAAAGGAGAAGATGTTAGAAGATGTTAGAAGACATTGGTTAATGTCTTCTCCAAGAAGATGCCAGGAAGACCTTTTTGAGTGAAATGTCTTCCAAAAAACAAACAATCTGCAGAGCCCATCATCTGCGCGCGTCTGCGCGGTGCAGACAAAAGATGCCAGAAGGTCTTCTGGCAGAAAAACAAACACCCCCTTAGTTTTCATGCTTGATTAAAGGATATAACCTGGCATCAGGAATCCCATGGCAGATCACTTCATTAACTGACCTGCAGCAAATATCAATAAAACAAATTGCTCACGATAAGTCAATCAGAATACAAACCACAAATCATGCAAATTTATCCAATACCAAATACCTACGTGCAGCATGATTTGGGGAAAAAATGATAGTTAAGAGGAGACGGATATGCACCTGGAAAGGGTAAAAAGATAATTTAGCAAAAGCATAAAAACCACTTATAGCACTAAGAGTCAACATACTCAAACAACCAAACATATAGCTTTGTTGATAATGGTTTATAAAAACCAAACTCATGACATATATTAACCCAAACTTTTCCCGTTATCAAATTTATTTCACAGTTTAGGTATTATAATCATGAAATTAAAAATAATAAGCCAAATGTAAGGTCAGCATACCAGCAGCAATGGTAGCTTCATGGACAACAGCATCAATTTCATCAGTGGTCACACCAGGTTGAATAAAGCGAGCAGCTGCATCCAAAACTTCCCTTGCAATCTGAAACTCACAATGTTAGTGTCATAAAATAGTACTCCTTTGAGTCTTTCCCCAAATCATCATATCTATTTTCCTACTTGGTCCATTCCATTTTAAGATGTTTGTTTACATTTATTAATAAAAGCATTATGTGGTTTTTCTCGTGTCTTGTGCACATTCAAAGTAGGCATGATAAAATAGGACGTAGGGAGTAACGATTAAGAACCATGCGATTAAAG